GAAAAGAAGAGTTGCAAGGGCTAAATCTCGCTGCAATAAAAGGGCAATGCTATAGCTTAGACCTGGGGTTGGCAAACTGGGGCTCACGAGCTACATGCGGCTCTTTGGCCCCTTGAGTGTGCCTTTCCACAAAACACCGACTTCTGCGCATGGGCCAAAGAGCCGCAAGTGGATCTCGAGCCGCAGTTTGCCGACCACTGCCCTAGGGCATCGGGTTTGACATCCCCTCTGTCCTCCACCAGCCCTCTGAAATTGCACTCAGGCAGGGAGGGCTGCTTCCACTTCACAGATGAGCAGACCGAGGTCCAACTTACCCTGGGCCCCTTGCAGCCCAGACAAGACCCACCCCAGTTCACCACATGGTGCCCTCTCCTCACCCGGTTCTCCCTGCCTCCGTCCCACCGGGGACCCCTCATTCCACAGAGAGAAACTGAGCACCTGCTCTGAGCCAGAGCCTTCCTAGGCCCTAGGGATCCTGCCCTCATGGGAGAGACATTGGGTAACTCGTCACACAAACAAGAAAAGACCCCAACTTACCCTGGGCCCCTTGCAGCCCAGTCAAGACCCACCCCAGCTCACCACAGGGTGCCCTCTCCTCGCCCAGTTCTCCCTGCCTCTGTGCCACAGGGAACCCCTCATTCCACAGAGAGAAACTGAGCACCTGCTCTGAGCCAGAGCCTTCCTAGGCCCTAGGGATCCTGCCCTCATGGGAGAGACATTGGGTAACTCGTCACACAAACAAGAAAAGACCCAGAGGCTGGGGTGTCCCTGAGAGGATGAACCCAAGGGCTTAGGGGAGCAGCACAGGAGCCCTAACGTGGCCTGGCGATCCCGGAGGGCTTCCTGGACAGGACTCAGCTGCAACTGTGGGATGAGTAGGAGGTGGCAGAGGCTAGATGGGGAAGTGATGGAGGAATGTTTCAGGCATGCGTGGCCGGCGGCAGGATGTGAATGGAGAATAGCAGGTCAACAAGGCAGGCAGACACACTGGGACCAGGGCTGAGTGTCAGAGCAGTAGCACGTGTCAAAAGGAGCATTGCTTGCAGCTGTCCAGTATCTTGGCTTCCCCACGCTCTTTGCCACCTCCGAGGGGTGAGGCCTGCGCAATTCACCTAATCTCCCTGTGCCTCCGTTTCCTCCTGTGTGAAAATGAGAATCGGTCATCTTACCCACCTTGTGAGACAGCTGTGGGAATTAACATCTGGCCCAGGGTAAACATTCCACACATGTTATCGTGGAGGCTGTGAGTTCCCAAAGTGTGGAACCCAGGGTGAAAAGGGGGTGCCATGTCTTTGTTTGAGTAATTACGTATTTATCCTAATGTATCTTCTGAGAAATAGAACTCCAACCCCAGACTGAGCATCTCCCTGGTAGTCTTGCTTGGGACAAGGCCGAGTGAAGAGTGTTCGTCTGTTCAAGTTTCACTTAAGGAAAACCTTCCAATAGATAGCTGTGCAGGTGGATAGGACATTTGTGCAGGTGGACAGGACATTTGTGCAGGTGGATAGAACATTTGTGCAGGTGGATAGGACATTTGTGCAGGTGGATAGGACATTTGTGCAGGTGGATAGGACATTTGTGCAGGTAGCCAGTAGGTGACAAAGGTGTGGCAGGCCCGGCGCTGGTGAGAGACAGAGGAGGGCGTCTCTAGCAGCGGGGATGGGGTCTGTTCCACATCGCAAAGGCTTTTGGCCTCCGGGGAATTGTGACAGGAAAGGCTGGAGTTCCTCTGCCCACAAGCCCCACTTCCCAGGCTGCTGGACA